TTGTGTATGGCATAAAGAAGTTTACAAGTTTTATATAAACTCTGCTTGGTAGAATGGAGTATATTGTGAAAGTCTCTAAAGATGTCGGCTATTGTGAGTTATCCAATAGCCATGACTATATTTATCCTTTTATCAGACCATACGTAACCTTATATTTTATCAACTAAATTGCAGTAATTCTACGTAGAGCAAACGTACATTATTCTATTGCATGAACATGTACTAGAACAGTGAAAAACCTAAACACTTGAAAACACTCAATGGCTTGTGTGTGTGTAGAGTAGGAATCCTCACTACTTAAAAACATCACAAAGCGTGTCAGTCGCCAAACATTGGATGGATTTAATTATAGCATAAGATTCCCACTCATGCTCTAATAAGCTACGATGGTTAAGACACTCCCCTTTTTCACATGTGAATACAAGCCAAGCTAATTCCTTGTTAATTTTTCTACTACCAGCACATACATTTTAATACCTAGATTTGTCACACATGAATGCGTCCGCCAACATACCATGCACCACTGTCAAGGTAGTTAGGGCCTGTCGTAGAGACTAAAGTCCTACTTGCGTTAGAGGGATGTCAGTTGCTCATTTTCTAAGTTTTATAAAATGGCAGGGGAAATTATTTTTAAACAATGGAACACCCTAAATACTCCATAACCCATCATTTTTCCTTGGACCGTTCAAGTTTGACATTAACATCAGGTTATACATTAACCTGGTTTGTCAGATTACTTCCCAGCGCAGACAGCAGCAATGCCACTGTCTTGCTCCCTCACCTTGGTTTTTCCAAGGGCAGATGTTCCCTCTCAATAAATTAGAAACGTGTAATAAATCAGAAGATTATTGCGAGAGTCCCAGAAAACGGGTTTGAAAACCAAAAATTATAAACACTCTTATATGTGTTTTACGTATCTTCGAAACAATATTCCTCAAGTGCAAGAGTGCGATAAGTGTCTCGGACCTATAAACTGCTTATTACCTTGCAGTCTGTCTCTCCCTCCGCTGTTTTTCGTGCGTGAATTTGTTGTCTTGCATTGCAAACTGAAGGAAAGTAAAACTCACTCAATCAACTTCGCGTCCGATTGTGGTGATATTATGTTTTTGACCTTCTGATAAACCCATATAAAAATTTCAAACCTAATTTCAACTTGAAACCCACACGCAGATGGGGTTATTTTTGTTACATGAGACTGAGAACTCTCAGTGAATCTTCTCGCATCATGTACACCAATGCTCAGGATTACACAGTGATAGAATATCAAGTAGGCGGTAACTAACGAGACAGTCTGGCCGATATGAGTTGCACTTGTCCACCATTAGCATGCTTGCTGGGCGTCTCTCTGCTTAAAACATCTCCTCAATAACTCACTCTGTCACTGCTGGGTGGAGAGTGTGCGACTTTGACATAAAGTACCAGCATATGGGATGTAATTCGTTTGTATGCGTTCATAGTCAATGCAAACCTGGACTGAGAGGTTGAGGTACGCGACTCGGCTATCAAGCATCACAACATGCCATGGAAATAGATGCTTTCCGTTCGGTGCCCAGTATACCCATACACGACAGCTTGATGCCTTGACAGCAATCTTCCACATATGAAATATCAAGCCAGGCAGAGAGATGCAGACTGCTTGTCTGCACCAAGATGCATATATATATAGGTTTTACAAAATTAGTCGGCGCCACCTGGAATGTCTCACCCTACATTCTTACCACAGCAAGCACTATGTGTTTAGGAATTGATGTCCCACATACCTTTTAATGCGTTCATACCACGTGTACATGTAATTCATTTTGTGGTTTTTGCCATATATAAGTTGACTACTCGTCAAACTCAACATATTATCAATTAAGTTACACCATTGATGGACCCAATTATAATTTGCAGTTACTGTGTGATTTTTCTATACTCCACGGCGTTTATGTCTAAGTCTACAGTCACCAGGTTTTGTCAGCTTCTACATCTATTTTGATGGAATATTTTATTCTTAATTAAATGAAGACACATTATCCTGTGTTACTACATATTTACTATGTAGGATTCTTTTGGATAACTTTACGTTTTGAAGCGACATTTGACTAAAATTTTACTAGGATGCATGAAGGGGATTTCAGAAAGGGGGAAAGTTTTATGTACTGGGTCTGGTACTGTGCTCTTGATAGTGTATAATGAAAATAGTGTAATCGATAAGAACAGATGACGAGTCGATAGCTGAGACGCTTTTTCAGTTCAAAAGAGAGTAGTGAATGTGCTAGATGATATTCATTACATACTAAGAGACTAACACTGAATATATTGCATACTCCTATGCACAGCTCTGAATTCATACAGCCATTGACCATTTGCGTAAATTCCAACTATGAGCATTTGCATTATTAGTAAAGTGACTCATAACGGTGAAAATTTATGTCATGGCTTCACATATGGGTATAAATTTAACCCATTTTTTGAGTTGTGGTGTTATGTGTGATGAACCATAACACAATCTTTAAGCGTACTCCATGTAGTTGTTTTATTGACATAACTGTAATTAAATGTACCACACTTTTAATAGAACTATTATTAACTTACTATGGAATATTCAGTGGAAAGTGTGCTGCAATTGTTTTTCTCTTATTTCAACGGCAACGCGTAATAATTTGCCACAACCTAGTCCTCTTAAAAAAATCACCTTCAGTTAATATTGGTCTGACAATACCAAACAAAAAGTATGCTGTTGGGCTATCTGTTGTATATAAGCAGCTAAGCCTAAAATTTTAGGCCTATATCCCCAGTGTTGCTCATGCCGTAGGAGCTCTGTGCCCTAGTTTTCCCCTCCGTCCGATGTGGGTGTGTATGCAGACTTCTGGCATCTTCCTTCTCAGAATGGGGATACTCCCTCGTCTGCCCCTAACTCCTTTTTTAATGTTGCTGTGATACCAAGATCAGTTACTTGTTTTTTCGCATTGACCCACCCAAACATGGAAACGACCGCCATGAACCTCAGGCTTCTTCAGAGGTCACAGAGTTACTAATTCACCACATACAACATCCGGCTAACTGTACTACAAAGTTCCACATAAATAGTCATGTTTACAATCAAGCGAGTTGGGTTGCGTAATGACTATTAAAGTCCACCCAGTAGTCATGCCATGCATGACCGGCAGCCTAGACTGCAAACTAAATAGGTGGTATTAGGTGCCCTGCTCCACAAAATGTTTTATAAGCATATTAACTCATTTTATTCATGTCAACATCTAGTATCCACCAGTTCTGCTATTCCTCTCCTAACAAGCCTCAACGTGTTCTTTACCTGTGCTGAAACCAACTCATTGTAGCAGCCATGAAAATGTTTAAATGAGTGCTGCTCTAACTCTTTGCTCTCTTAAAAACTAAATACTGAACATGACTCTCACACACACACACACACACACACACACACACACACACACACACACACACACACACACACACACACACACACACACACACACACACACGATTCAGTTACTAAACAAAACTGCCTTACAGCCATTTACATGACACTCAACAGCACTTGTTCTCACCATAATTTGTATCTTATAATTGTAGAGTTATTCTTAGCACTGCAGAACATTGTTATGATTTGTAAACTGAGAAGATGAGTCATGAAAGTTTTTTTTGGAACATATGCTCAATGAATATCTAAAGGAAATACACTGTGTCTACATGAACTTACCATTAAAGAAATTTCTCATAAGTATCCAAGGTAATTGCCTTGGTTGGACAAACCATAAACCATTGGTCAATGATCTCTGCAGACTGCTGTCCCCTATTTAACCTCAGTGCCATTTCTGCTTGTAATGTTGACTTAAGTGCACCACAAACCTCAGATGTGATGCCACTGCTAAGTCTCTATACTTCATTCACTGATTTTGCACATACTTTGACTGATATACTGATGACACCTAAAACAACTATATAATGTATGTCATTATCCAAGGAGGCATCCAAATATTAGCCAAACCAGAACAAGATAACTAAATTTAATGCGGAGACAAACCTTGTCTTCAATTGTCAATTTACCTGTAATTTTCAATACCTACTTCAGGGATTAGGGCACTACAGGAGAGAATCCTAGATAACATGCAGAGCATCAACTCTGTGTGAGGGGATTCCTAATTGGTTTGGAGAAACTGGAGTTTGAAAAAAGAAACATCCAAAACTGCATCTTACTTGTCACGTCACATGCTTATCGTCATGGAAAATGTTAGTTAGCAGAGCATTTGTCTCTTCCGTTATGCCTTAAAATAAACACGGTGGTTTGACCAAGAAAAGTTTTTCTTGGCTAGCGATAGTGATGATAGTGGATACACATGTAGTAAGTCAGGGCAAGCATGATTACCTCACTGCCAACTTCGTCTTCTTTCTCAATTCTTGCTCAGAGTGCACCAAAGTCATATCTTTTTACTCACTCTGTAATTTGGTCAAGTTTGCTTTGTTACTACCAAGAAAGACATATTTCTCTCATGGATTATGATTAAGTTATGGAGTAAAATTCAGGTTCCTGTTAATAAGAATTTAGTGGGTGTATGTCTCATTTCCTCATCTGTTTGCCCCTTTTTTCTTCTGTAACCTTTGTAAGGTAATCATAATAATTGTTATTATGACAGTTGTTCAAAGGTGAAAATGTTTTCTGTGACTGAAACTTTGTCCTATAAACACAGCAACCTTCGCCTTTTTAAACAAGATCAGCCAGACAATTATAATTTTGAACTAACATGTTATTCAAGTATTCTAATTCAGAAATCCCTGTTACATTTGAAAACAGACGCAGACAGGAGAGTGGACAGCAGACAAGCACACAGTTCTGTTGTTTACAGAACATATAGTATCTGGAGGCGCTGCACACAGACATCCGCTCTGACCTTTGCAGGCATGAGCGGATGACAAAATGTATATCACATGGATCACATGGATAATCTGAGCTCAGGATCACATGGTGCACCTGGTGAAAACAGTGTTAAAAGAGTTACCTGAGCATGCCATAGCATAAGGTAGACCGCAGTGTAGTGGGTCCAAAGTGACTGATGTTTCTCCTGTGAAGACTCTCTTCTGTGAGTGCAATGCCAATCACCACCTCTTCATTGTGTATGTTTAGTAAAACCTACAGTGCAGAAACATACAGTACATGATCAGAAATCAAGTGTCAATATTATTAATATTTTATGCAGCTGAAATGACTGAAAGACAATTAATTTTGATTTGTTTTAATTATTTCAGTCATTTTTCATTCTTTTTGATTGAATGGACTAAATTAATAATTGGTTAATTGAGAAACTAACTAGAGGATAAACCAATAATGAAAATAATGGTTAGTTGCAGTCCTAATATTCTAGACTATAAACTATAGTAAACTGGAACATACGAGCATAAAGCACTGGTTATTTCAACATGTATTCAAACAGGCATCTAAATGACAGCTAGCCCATGATAGGAACTATAATTGAAATGAGTCTTGAACACAAACTATGTTTTAGTCGTCAGATTACACACCTGGCAACTGCTACCAAGCAACAAAATACCATGACAGATTTCTACAAAGCGTAGAAGGCCACAGATCATCATTTTTACACCTTTTCACTTCAACTTAAAAAACATACACATCATCTTCAACCTTTAATACAAGGCTGAAGCCTTTTTCAACATGTTACATAATGAGAACAGCTTATCTTCATAAAATGTTATAGAGCATGTTTTTTTGTCACTCCTTAACTCTAAACATTAGGTTATGCCGTGCGAGTTTATCTGAATATGCAGAGTGTTTTTTGGCTAGCGCAATGTTATTTGCTTCTTATCTGTTGAGTCTGAACAAGCATGCCTACCTCTATGTCAAACTTGGTCATGTCTGCTTTCCATTGGAAGAATTCTTGTACGGCTCCACCAAAGTCTCTGGCTGCCTCGTTAGAGGAAAAGCTGTGTTTATCACCGGCCCTGTTGCACGTCACACGAAACTTGATTAGTTTGGCCCCGGGTGCTGCCTCATCTGAGTCCTGTGTACAGGTCTCCCCGCCATGTGTGTCCTCTGCCCCTGTCTGGCCTTCAGCAGCTGACACTGCCTGAGGTAGCTCTTGCTGCTCAGTGTCAGCCACGGTTACATCACCGGTCTCGCAGTTGGGCTTTGATTTAGCGACATTTCCTCCTCTCCGGTGGCCTTTCTTCTTTTTTAGAGTGCCATTTAGTTTCCAGACCTCTAGGGCATTAGTCCATGGGAGTTTGGAGGCGAGCTGCTGCAACTCCATTAATGTTTCGTCCTGTACAAAAGAAAGTGTTACTTCCCTGACAATAATAATGTATTTTATATCAGCTACAACAGAATAAAGCTGGCTGTGCGTTACCTTTGATTCCTTGAACTGGTAATGGTGATATTCCTCAACCACAACAAACAGGTTGTCCACAGACTTCAGAAGATGAACCTACAAGTGGGAAAATATAAGAATAGGGAGACAGATAGATGTGAGATGGAGATTTTCTGTGCATTTATATGCTTGATAGTTTCAGTATATCACCATTGGCCTCCACAAAGTAATGTCTTCTTTGGTTATAATGCAATATGACAGTGAGCAAAACCTGAGGGAACTGGGCCTCCGCCGGCTTTGAGTCTTACCTGGAATAGCTTGTCAGTGGTTATTGGAAAGAATACACGACCACGATCTTTGCTAATTCTTGCATCAACCCCAATTTTCTCCTTGATCTCCTCTGCAGCAGTGTGTTCAAACCCAGTGGGCACGGTTGCTCCAATGGTGACAGTGATGATGTCCCCACTGGTGGCATCAATCTCAGTGGAGGCTGTTTCAGGGCCCTCTTCTGCAGCTCCATCTCCCTGGGAGGACATGCTGTACAGTGGTCTGTCCCTCAATAGACAAAGCTATAACTGAGTAATGCGAGTGGCAGCTGGTGCAGAGCTCAGTGTATTACATGTAACACCTGGAGGGAGAGAGGGAGAGGGAGAGGGAGAGAGAGAGAGAGAGAGAGAGAGGCTGCATATTATTTACTGTCAATACAATATTCAGGCATAGAATTTACTAGCAAGGAAAGAACATCACAAAATACTACTGGGAACTATCATGTTGTCATACGTTAGCACGAAACACAGTTGATTTGAACACTGCGAATAAACACCTATTCTGTTATTGATGAGTAAGTAATATTACCAGGCAACTTAGCTGGCTAACGTTAGCTTTACGGAGCTAAAAAGTTAGTTACGAATAAAAAGCAAGCTAACGTTGATACAGCATTTACATGAAACCACTGCCACATAATGATGTGTGTTTGTGTAATGAGCCCACCGGTTGAACTGCAGACGCTGATAACAGTTTTAAAAGAGTCTATTGGTCCTAGTTTGCTAACTGGAGTCAGACCAACCCGTCAAACACGAGGCGTCACACGTTGTTTCCGCTCAGCTGCGACAACACCGACACTTCCGGTCGACATCCTTTAGAATAAAAGCATCAGCTCCACAGATTTGTTCTGGCAAACTAAAAGGGTTTTGCACAAGAGTTACAAGTATAAATTTTTGTATGAGTATTGTAATGTTGTGTTTTATCAAACTGCTTACATTTTTCAAGTAATGAACACACTGAAAAACTTTGGGCAAGTTATTATTCCACCATTAAAGCACTGTAAGACTGAAAGCAATAATTATTTTCTATCAATAGGTCTGACAATTATTTCCTCTAATAATCTATGGATTGCTCAGTTTATAAAATGTCGGAATATATTTTAAATGCCCATCATTATTCCTTGGAGTTCAAGGTACATAGTTTTATTTTTCAAAAATATTCACATCGGAGAAACTGTTACTGGTGAATTTTTTTTCTGGCATTTTTGCTTAAAAATTATGAACCAGTTATAAAAATTCTTGCCAGAAAAACTAGGTGGTGTCTGATCTATCTGTGCCTGGGGAAATAATGTAACATCTATGGGGGTCAATAGGGGCCCAAGAATAAGTGTTTGATTCGAATGCAATAATGCAGCCAAAGTTATATGTCAATACCCCCTGGCTACTGGCTTAATCTTCACACTAACATACTTACACTGTGTTGATTTAAGAATAAAATCACTGTCCTTCAAAGTTAACGTTGCACTGTATAAATGGTGACATTTTGTAAATAAAATGGGTTCTGTATAATTACTGAAAATCCTCCCTGACTCACACTTAACAGCAGATGAATTTGGTTTGTTACACCCACTCACTCATCTAAACTAAAAAATCCAAATAGTAGCAGGAACTATGCTTCGAGAGAACCTTTCTTTTTCTTTGCACTACTTACACAAAGGTTCAATAAGTTTTCAAAGGCATATTTCATAGAGACCCTAGTGGGGCGGTCAAAGACGTCTACCTTTCTAAAGCCTTGTTTGATGATAACTAAACAAGGTCACTTGTCAAACACAATTATGTAAAGTCCAATTATAGCTATAAACTATATGCCTTCAAGTGAATATGATGTTTTACCACCAGATCACGACTAAAACGATTTCACATTGAAAAAGCCTTGCTTTTGTTCTCAAAGCCAGAGGCCCAGACAGGAAATCCAGCAGTTGCTAGCTGGGATAATCTCGATTATTGATGTGCTTTATTTTAATTCATTTTCACCAGCTACTTCCGGGTATATCTTTACCATAAGTAAACGGCAGAGGGCGCCATGATGTCATTTATTTAATCTGAGTGTGATAACACTGAACAGAACCACCCAACCCAGCATCAGCCAATATGTGAGCAACAAACAACAGAGAGAGAGAAAGAGAGAAAAGATGGCTCTTGTCACAGAAATAACAACAGGGTAAAAGGATAAAGGGAGACAGCTGCGCTTTCTCTCTCAGACTCTATTCTGACCCACACGCTGTTTGTATTTGTATGGATTTATGCCAATAATTATGGGTTGTTATTTACATTTCATGGTGGTTTTTGTAATTCATTGTATGGGCATTTGTCTGACAGAAGCACTACAGACCTCCTGCTGCTTCTGACTGGATCCAAGAAGAGTCTGCGACATGGTTGGATTTTGTTACATATAAAGCATTAATCATCACTTGCATAAATAAAAAAAAAGTTATATCACTATATTGTCACATATAGCCAGTTTTAGGCTTTTTAGTGGACATTACAATGACTTTTTAGCATTGCTTAATGCACTGCCACTGGTTTTAAAATGCAGAATATCTAAGTCTCTCGCATGGACCATTCCAGCATTGTTAAACAAAACAGAAAGAAAATCTGTTAAAGTCACCCATAATCTCGTTTCACCATTTATCATTTGTGATGAATGAAGTTTATGTAGAGCGTGGTGATTAGAGTAACTGTCTTCTCCTCTATGTCCCATTTTCTTCTGTGATTAATTGAACCTCTGGGCAGTGGAAGTAACGGTATTTACTTCACGTGAGTGCTAAAGATAATTCTCTTTCTTTTAGCAAACAGCTGTGGAAGAAAATAAAGAGCGGTTCTATTTATTCTCACCACTTTTCTCATTTACTGTGATTATGTCAAGTTTATATGTGTAGCAGTTCATTACAATTACAAGAAAGCATTCATTTTTTGAAAATGTTTTTTTTTGTCTGCTGGACTTCCTCTGACAGAATAAACACCCTTTTCATAGCTTCTCTCATGCCTCACCACACTACATACAGTGTTAATTGAGAATATTTTGTTGTTTTTAAAGTCAGCTTCATTCTTTCCAACAAAGTGTGAAGTCTGAGAGACAAGGAGGCGTGTGTTCATGTCAGGGATAAAAAAGTCCTACACAACAGATGGCCAGTGTTGGAGTACAGTCAGACACTCCAAAAAACTTTTGCTAACTTAATGATCTTATAAACACAGTAGGCAACTGTTTGTATAATACATGTTTTTATTCCCTCTGCAAAGAGAATAAGCAAAGAGTAGGTTACAGTGAAAAAAAAAATGAGTGAAAAAAAAATACTGTAGCTCCAGGTTTGCTGCTTTGACAGAAGATCAAACACACACAACCACAGTCCTCTTTGACCTGTTTGTAATTCAGGGGCTATCCATGCAACACAAGCAGACCTGGTGCTTCCACCCTCAAATGTAACTCAACCTCAGCTGCAATAACATGCAATGGGGAGAGAAGACAAGCATGGGGGAATATCCTCAAAGCAGTCAGGTATGATAAATCCTATCGGATTTTACACGGCGATCGTCTCCCAGTGTTTACAAGATCCCTCTCTCAGTGTGGTTCTACTTGTTAAAATAGAAGTGACAGTTATGGAGATATGAGTCTACATCTTAGGGAAGATAATACAGAACGTACCAAAGAGCCATCTCTTTCCCAGCGTGAGTGCTTGATGATTGATTGATGACAAGTATCAAAGACTACAACAGACGCTGTCAGTGGTTTTTGCAGATGATTGTCTTGCAATGGAATCGGTTCTAACAACAGACAGGAGTCAGGGCTTTAGTAGCCTTTAACTGATTGGAAAGACAAGAAAACAATGAGTCATGTCCTGAAACACACAGCTGTATATGCTTAGAGATATGTACCAGATGTGAACAATAAAAAAAACCCAAACATTTGAAGCCCTTTTATGTAGCTGAAAATACATAAAACAGTACAGTTGGTAGACTGTTGACAACAGCAGGACAAATAATTTCTTAATAACACTATACTACACCTTGCATTCAGAGCCCAAAGGTCACTCATGCCAAGTTTGTCAGATCTGTAATTAACCTATCATTTTAAAATAATGACTTAATGGAACTGGTTGTACGTCCAAATCCTTTTTCTTATCTGAATCATTTCTATCTCTGTCATTGTACAGATTCAGTATTGAGGTAAGTATGGTTTTACATTAGGCCCAAGACGGATACACCAGTGTGAGTCTCATCCATCTGAAGGGAATCTACCAATAATAACAATTAATAAAGTCTGTCAGAGGTAAACAAGGATACATGCAGGGATATACCACTCCCTGCTTGAAAATTCTTATTATTATATTCCATTAAATACGGTATATTCATACAGTGAGATTTCTTAAAGGGAAATAAAGCTTTTCCCTGGAGTACAGTAATGAACAAATCTGTGTTGATTCCAAAATCCACCAAACTTTGATCTTAGTAGAAGCATAAAGTGGGAGAACCATCACTCAGCAAGACATTACTCAGATCATTACTGCAGATCATTTACTGAAGGGTCAATTCTGCACATCTGGCAGTCCTGTAGATTCTCAACAGAGAAACCTGTTACATCATATCACGGGGCAGAGAGCTTTTTAATTAAATGTAGTGCAATTATGAATGATATGAGAACCCACAAGTCCATGCAAAGCTACCTCTGGGTGATGAAGAAGAAAACATTATGAAGAATCAGCCTGAAGGGCTTCGTCTGCTGTCTACTTGCCCAGAGTTTTCATAATCAGCTTAACACTTTAGCTGAGCATTTTCACATTAAGTCGCACTCATGCATTTCTTTTTTCGATGTAATAATATGAATAATCATGATTTTGTTTATGGGCCCACATTGTCACTTTTATTTGAAATGTAAGGAATCTTGAAGTAGTAGTAGTGCTTATTTCAAAGACAAGGCAATTCACAGCAGGATGTCCTGGTGACTGAGTGGTCTAAGATGCCTGTAACCGTGACAACCCTGGTCTGGGTCACATGGTGACCCTTGCTGCAAGTTTTCTGTCACTGACTTAACAAATTATTCAATAATTGTAAAAAAAAAAAAAAAAGTATCTATAAAAACAATGAAGCAAATAAAATGTGCAAGTAGGAAACGGTAAACAATGGTTGTCATGCACATCCAGATTCACTAAGAGGTTTTTAGCTGCAAAAAAACTTTATTTGCATACACTTTACACATATGACCTATCATGGCATTCAAGTCCAGACTGTATCCCAGAGTGGTGTTTGTTCACATGTTGGAGATGGAGACGAGAGCTGTTCCCACTCTTGTTCTATAGAAAGAAATAGTAAAAGGATCTCACAATGGATCTTTGTGCCATAAAGACAGTGGAGTCACAGTTTTCCAGGCTTCCCCCCTGATGAGAGAGGTAGGGGTGAGCAACAGAGGGATGGTGGGAGGAATAAAGAGACTACAGAAGGTTACCTCTGCTGACTTCTCTATGGTAAACACAAACAAAAGCAGAATCCACCCTGCTGTCACTCGGGCCTCTGTCACAGCTGGTGTGTCACAAGTGAAGTGTCTGCTCTCTCATGGCTTCGCTCCTCAGACACGCAGGTGACATATAAGGCCTGACAAATGACTTAGACTCACTGCTGGAACTGCAAAGACACAAAAGCTGCTAAACACACACACAGACATAGATACATAATAAATACAGTGTATATATATACACACACACTCAGACACCATTTAAAAGTGCTCAGGTGCTTTTACTCCAGTAAAGAGGGCTCTAATGTGTTCAACAGGCATAAAATATCTTTGGACACCACAAGGCCATCAATTTAAACCTGATTTCCTCAAGCATTACTACAGCAGGGCATTGTTAGAGTACATCAACATTTGTGTGAATGGATATTCTAGGGTTGAGAAAGAGAGAGAGAGAGGTCTTTCTCATCTCTGTAATTGTTTAATTAGACTCTCTTGGGTAACTAATTGTTCCACCTCATTTGTGCAATGTTATATTACATATTACATTGTCTTTTAAGTTGTTCTTGCTGGCTGCAGAGTAACATCAGACTCTAGCTTACACCAAAGTGCCTCTCAATGACACAGTATGTTGTTAGGTACACAAGTCATTTTCTCAGCCATATCCTATAAAAATAATGTGTCTGTGAAGATTCTCAGTCATCCAGGTCATGGGATTTTCTACCTACTAAGTGCTCAGAGTGTATTTCTAAGGGCTATACTTTAATTCAGAACAGAAGCCTTTTGGATGAGACGTATTCATGAACCTCAAGCAAGTCTAGTTGCCTTTGTATAGCACTTATTAATGGCGAATACATAATTTACTGATGCTTTATTATATCAGTTATAATCCAATAATGATATATTATACTATTAAGCCATTAAATCTGCAGTAAATGTATAGATGTTAGTAAGTCATTAATAACTGTTTTCACAACATTCCACAAGGTCTGCAGTTGTAAAAAGTTGTTAATAAATAGACTTTTCCAGAAAGTAAGTCATCAAACCGTCTATTGGAAAGATATTCCTGATGAGGATAAATCTGCCAGGCAGGGATTTTTTCATAGTCTGGCAACCCAAGAGTTGTTCTAAACCTCTATAACCACTATTAACAACTAATTAACTATTAATAAAGCCATTAGTCATAATTTATAAACCTTTTATTAAGGGAAAGTGGAACAATTTCTTTTTTACAGTTGTCATAGAAATCCTTTTTAACAGCTTTTTCAAATGTGGCACCATGTAGATCTACAGTCTGTCAACAAACGCCTCCCTGCCTGTCAGCTTGAAATATACAGAACATCAAGCCTGTGCGGTGCAGATGGAAATGAAGTTTATATGGCTTCTACAGTGTGTCAGTGTGCAGGTTTGTGCCCCCTCATTGTGAGTCAACAGCCTGTTCCCTCCTGAACTCCTGAATAACTAAGGTGACAGACAACATACCAACTTCCCTGGTCTGTTAAAAACACACTGAAGCACCCAGATGACAGTGTCTGCCAGGAAACACACTCAGTCCCTGTCGCTACAGTGCTTTGAAAAGCTGCTGCTCTTCATGATATGAATTCAAATATTCTTTTTTTCACCATGTGAGGAACACATTATTCCCATCACAAAGCCACAAGTGTACACAAAACTGAAAACACTTTTTCATGTAAATCTGAGAGGTTTTGTATTCATGGTCATGATCAGGGACTTATATGCATTTTTTATTTTCTTATATTTATATTCATATTGGCTAAAGACACTTCTGTCATTGGTGACATTCTTGCTATCACACTCGTCTTTCACAGTAAACATCAGCTCTGCCAAAAGAAAAGAAAAGAAGTAAACAATGGATGCAACAAGAGCATGAGTATGCAACTGTGTGCAAAAAAAGAAGAAAAGAAAAAAGAAAAAAGAAAAAAAGGAAGGTGCTGTAAAGACACAATTGTCCCTTTAAAAGATAATGGTTTGTGTATATGTGCTGTCAGCACAGCACTGCCTTCATGGTAAGACTTCACGATCGAAGCATCGGTGGTGGTGTTGGTGCTGGTGTGTCATTCCTGAGCAAATTTACCCACCAGGCTTTTCACTTCACACGGTCTGTGCTCTGTGTGCGTGTGTGTGTGTGTGTGTGTGTGTGTGTGTGTGTGTGTGTCAGAATAGCCTGTTAGAAATGATCCCTCAGCCTCTGCTGAGATGTGCCACATCTCCTAAACAGTAGCCATGGTGAAAGTAATGCAGAGATAAAAGTGGGAGGTTTCCAAGGCAATGGAGTCTGAAGAAGAGAGGGGGCAAATCAAATCAAATCATTGTTAGATCTATAGAAGAATGCTTGATGATGATGAGGATGATGATGATGATCCCTATATGTTTACTAATGCAAAATGTGACCAGAAAGGCTGAACATAATATGTTTAAATTCAATTAAATGACATTTGTGTGTGTGTGTGTGTGTGTGTGTGTGTGTGTGTGTGTGTGTGTGTGTGTGTGTGTGTGTGTGTGGAAGGAGGGGTGGGTTTTGACAATATGAGGAGGCTCACGTGACTGTCTCTTAAATTCCTGTTTCCCTGCAGCGCAATTTGTCAGAGTACGGATGGTGCCTCGCTCCTCGACCGCATGTCTGTTCATTTTGAGCACAGGCGCAATAAGGACCTGACTGCTTGAACCCTTCAAGCGACGCTGCTCTCTCTTCATCATGTTGTTGGTACAGTTTTGAGCTCGCCTGTGTCTTTTGTTTGTTTGTTTTTCCTGCTGAAGCCTTTGACTTGACTGGTACCAGGAGGAGGAGGAGGACTCGGCTCCTCTGCCAGAGAAAAACCCTTTGCAGGAAAAAAAAAAAAAAAAAAAGAAAGAAAAAAGAGAAGAATGCAACATCAGACTGCAGCTGCTCCAGTGTTAACTCTCCTGCACTGATTTCCACGATAAGGTTATTTGAACGCAACCTTTTAAGCGTTTGTTCTCGCCAGTGCACGGCCACTAGAGAGGACAGAAGAAAAACGGAGGAAAGTGCTGCAACGTTACAAGTCGGGGATCATCACCCAAGACCCAAGAGCGTCCTCGACTTGCAGGGTCTCACCCTAAAACCAGAGGAACCATGTCATCTACGAAATTCAAGAAGGACAAGGAGATCATAGCGGATTATGAGACCCAAGTGAAAGGTGCGGTGTGAGTCTGATGTGTGTGTCCGCTCCCTGTGTGCATTGTCTCTGCAGAGCCTTGTCCGTCCAGCCTGACTCCTTCATGCTTTTGCCTTTCTTTTATTTATTTTTTTACTCGCGTTAACACGGTGCTGCCGTCTCTGTGTAGGATACGCCTTTTTGTACAGCGTTAAAACAGATAGCTAGTGGTAGACTTTCCCCCGTCAGATGACAGGCAAACCGTGACAGTCAGCCCAATGACAAGAGCATCAGAGTGCCAGGAGCGTTTTATTTTCCTGCATTTTTTTTCTCTCTGTCATGTGCAAAAGGTTTCTCTCGTTAATTCACCAACAGCCAGAGGGATTTCTGTGTGCTGAATGTTAATTTGTCATAATGTGGTAACAGGATCCTGGTTGAGCAAGCTTTGTTGCTGGGTAAAATGATCCCTGTGTTGAAATGAGTGCAGGATGGAGGATTATGAGGTGGTATTATTATTATTATTATTATTATTATTATGACACCTCATTCTTTCACATTCTGTGGCCTGCATTTGGTTTACGGTGCCCAGTGTTGTTCCAGATGTTGCACAAATATTTGTCAATTTAAAAAGATTTAATGAACACTGTGTAGGCCCCTGTATGTCAAATTCATACTCATTTTCCATATCCATATGTCTTAGAATGGCTTCTGTTCAGAAGGTGGTTTCAGCTTTCAACCACAGACCTGACCATCACACTCACCTTCTCTCTTTGATTTATTATCAGTGATCGACTGTTTTCTCTCTCACTGCTCTCGCCTGGCACCTCTTCCACACACACACACACACACACACACACACACACACACACACACACACACACACACACACACACACACGTCACAGGTAAAGGGCATGGCTCTGTAGCGACTTACTTCATTTCAGAGTCATCATTATCTCAGATATCAGGGTAGGTCTTAAGAATCCTGACTAGTGGATTCATTGCTCGCTGGGATGCAAGACGTTTTTGCCATCTTTATTTTGACATATATTCCTGCTTTACCTGTGTACCTGTGTGCATATGATGCCCCCCTGGAGATAATGATTGATTTATTAAACATAAAAAAGAGAAAAAAGGGCGCAGATGACAACTGGGAAATGACATATCCCAAGTCCGTGAAGGCAGTGATTAAAGACAAGACATACAGGCCACCCAAATAAACATCCACAAGATGCTTTCAGTGACAGTTTGTTCTGCTGTCTTGTGTAAAAATGAGGGGGTGTATTCTACACACAAACAAAGAACAGACATTTCCCTTAGTGGAGCTGGGGTTTAGTTTCAAAGCCCTGGACCTATCATTCTCCCTCTCAGTGGTCTCACTAATGTTACACCTCTGGGGTTTCAGCTGATCGCCCCCCGAGTCTGGACTTTCTCGGAGTGCAAAGAGTTGGATTTGTAGGATTGATCTACAGACACATTCCTCTTTGTGTGGAAAATGTATCACCTGATTGATTTTTACCCACCAGACTTTCTCTGCCTCTTATCACGTTACTTTTGTCTTGTGGCATGAGCTGGCCGTTTTGGGGAGGAAAGAAAATGCATGTAAACATCTCTTGTTTCCATTTTATTCTTAAGCTTTCCACTTTATTCCTCACCATTTTTCTTGGTCATTTAGGTATCAGTTATTTAGTTTAGATCCAGCTGTGTCACGGGAGAATAGCTCATTTCATAGGTCCAGGCCCTGTCTGCTGCCTCTTTGCAATAGACTGTGTGAGGGAGAAGGATCTTAATTTATGGAGACTGCTGCTTGTTTCTCATTCACAGCTGCTGTGTTGCATGGTCTACAGACACAGAGGGCTCTGCTCCTGACATCCAACAATGTTATGAGTTGAACCAGGCTGTGAGCGAAACCGTAATGACATTCAGATTGGAAATTGCACCTGTCTCATTCTGAGTTATTGCTGGGTGGTTAATGTGTACATGGCAGCAGGGGCCAAATCATCAGTGTGTCATTGATTGGGTCATAACAAGATCGTACGGCTGCTTTATTATGTATGAGAGCTAATAAATGGGCGACAGAGAAAAATCACTCGGTTTCAGCAGTAGCTTAACAACAAAGAAAAAAACAACACCACTACCTTTGCTATGCCCAAATACTGTTAGTTAGTTTAAATGTGATGACTGCAGATGGTCTTAACATAAAATTTAACTCCGCTAGAATAACCCCCTGCCATGAATGAATTCTTGACGACCCTCGAGGCTGGCTGCCAAAGCCTCGGTCTCTGAAGGACCCTGGGAGATGGTGTTCATTTTGTTCAGGCTGTTCAGCTGGCAGATCTTGCATTAGCATGTCAATAGAGAGGGTTCATAGTCTGAACAGAGAGGGACTGGCTGAGGAGCTTGGACTCCGTTTTGTAGCTAACCACCGTGTGGTCGCTGGTCTGCAGCTCTGTCTCCTCCGGTTTGCTAGTTTTGTAAGCAGCTTGTGCAAGTGTTGCTCTCGGGCTATTTGACATTTACAACTGAGGTTCTGAGGCCAAAATATGGTTTCAGTATAAATCCATACTTTCCCATCAGCAGGACAGGGATGACTTGAACTTTTAGTCCATAGAATATGCAGAACTGCATGCTTTATAAGTCTAGTGATCACAAGTGAACTCTGCTGACTTTGAGAAACAGATTTAAGGATGAGGCCCACAGATAGCTGATGAGAGGTGGCGATGATACAGCACATGCACAGAACAAAGCTTTGAAACAAAACCTGAATACTTTAAGAACACTAGTAAATGTTAAGACATGTATGCACCCAGGCTAGACTCCATTGTCTTTTTTTTTCATTTATTTTTTATTACATTGGTCTTGAGTTTACATCTTTTTGCTGTAGTGTACTTTGGCTGGAGAGACAGCAGGTCCTGTTGGCTGGCTTCCCTGAATCCCCCTCTGCAAAGAATCACTGATTCATTGTACTTGGAGTGCAGCACAGTGTTACCCCACTCTCTCTCTCTGGCACACTGGACTCTTAGTAATGGTATTAATCCTGCAGTATGTTGAAGATAAAAGTCAGCATATAGTGAGAGCTTTAAATGTGTTGGGTCAGATGGATAGCTCATGTTCAAAGCCACATAATCTACACATTTTAGATTGAGCTCATGGCCTGCAATGGTTGTCATTTCCTAGATGTAACCGTTGTTTACACTGACAGTGCTGCACCCACACACAAAGACAGGTACATGTCAATGAATTGTGTTGTTGAGAGAAAGTACAGTTCTGATGTGATGAAAATGACACAGGACTGAAAGTGTTGTCATTTGTTTTTCCTCCAGGCTACAGACAACTGCTCTGATCAGGGAAATTATGCAGGCAACTGCTCAAAGAACATTTTCAGTGTCCCCCAGTTCTAGACGTTAATGCCAAGCACACACAAACACACACAAACACACACACACAATCACTTGAGGTGATACTGAAAAGGAAGCGTGGTTTTTACACCTCTTGGTTCAGGTTTTTTTTTTTTTTTTTTCCGTTGCTCGTTGTTCGTTGTTCATTGCTATAGTCTCTGCTGGTTCTTTTCTGTCACACCAAGTGCAAACAAGCTTAACCTCCCCAGCAGCCCTTATATAACCCTGAAAGTAATCTGATCAACATATATTTCTAAACTAGCTGTAGCCGCTTTGTCAGTTACACAGGGCTCCGCAAGAAGCGTGTATGTCTAATTTTACAGCAGAGTGCAAACTTAAGTGCCTTATTCAGGAACTAAAGGCATGTTTTAAGTCTCATCAGAGTAGATGATCACACACCTTGCTAATTCAAATTATCAAGTGATATCATTTTAAATTCTCTGCAGTTTTATAACAAATACATTTTTATTGATCTCCAGCTTGCAGTTTGTTTGGTAACAGCAGTCAGATCTCAGCAAATGCCCAGTGTGGTCACAAACCACACTTCTAATCGCTTATATAACCCTAAACATTGTTTGGTGGGTTTGGTTAAATGTGTATGAGCATTATGTGAGACACTAGGTGTGTCTCTGTTTGTTGTTGCTCCAGGCTACAGACAGCTTCCTCGCTGAGGGAGTTAAATGTTGAAAACTGTTCATAGGATTGTGGTGTTTGTTAGCAAAGTAACAATGATGACTGAATACAGCCTGTGGTCTCTCTGCGCCCTGAAATACCTACAGCCCGTCATGCCAACTCAGGTTTATTGCTGACAATGAATGTGTTGCTCAGTAAATGTTGGAAATGTGTCTCAAGCTCAGAGCTTGTTACCATCGTGGTGTTATTTCGTTAATTACCTGCTGGGCAGCATGGAGCTGGCTGTGCAGAAACTGACATGTTGAGAGTTGAAGAAATGGTCACGCTGACTCACCAGCTGAGGATCGCCAGCTTGTTTAACAAACCTGCTGCTGACTGAGAGAAGATTAGCAAAAAAAAAAAAAAAAAATCATCCACTAGCTAATAAGGCAGAATAATCTTTAGTGGGACAGCTTGTTTATTCTGCAGTCCAATCATTTTTGGGCTTCATTAAGGAATGGTTTGTTTGTGTAGAGTGGCATTAACTAGTCAAACAAACAGGCAGCCCAAATAAGCTCTATTGTTGCTGACTCAAGATTTCATACTATTAATACACAGTGATGTTTTAAAGAAAAACTTTTTCTTATTTTGGGCAGTGCACTAATTTGCATCAATGCCAAGAGTTAGATGAGAAGATTGATACCACTCACGTGTCTGTATGCTAAGTATGAAGCTACTACCTGCAGCTGGCTAACTTCGCTCAACTTAGCATCAAGACTGAAAACAAGGGGAAACATCTAGCTTGGCTCTGTCTAAATTTAACAAAACTTACATGAGCTCACACATTTTATCTTTATACAAAAACATAAATGTGAAAACAACAATTTGTCACTCTGTTTCCCTCTTTTTCCAGTCTTAATGCGAAGCTAAATTAGCTGTTTGCTGGCAGTGTCTTAATACATAATGCACAAACACGAGAATGGTACGGATCTTCTCCTGTTAACTATTGCCAAGAAAGCAAGTGACTGTCCTC